AACGATCATAACTTTATTGCTGTAAGACTTTGGGGGCCACAGCTTGGCCTGCATTTGAGAAAGAGGGAGTTACTTGTAAAATTCGTAGGATTGCATGAGTTTGGCAACCTACTGTACATAACAATAAAACAAGGTAATCTGCTGGTAAGGAACACGTAAAGCACATTGGTTCGCACAGCCTTTATAAGCAATTTATAACGCGGTGCATCAATTTGTGTCTAAGGAATGATTCAATCTAAAAAAATTATATCAGTCAATGGACCAGAGGTATAGTTTAGCGTGCCATGGGTACTACCTGTCAGTAGGCTGTCATACGGAGCGATTACGAGACAACTGATATACTCTTAAGTATTTTATATACTAGGCTAGCTCCTGATGGGAAAAATCAATAGACAACATCACCGATCGAAGTAACTCCGCAAAAGATTAGAAACGCGAAGGGAGATCCCTCGTGCTCCACACTCTTAACGGTCTCAAGACTCACTTTGTGCCTTCAGACCCATTAGGCAAACAGGCAGTAGTCATGGTCATGTCGTTGTTTACCACTGTTGATGCGGCAGTGCTGGTGATTTGCGCCGAGGCGGCCACTTCCTCCGGTGCAGAAGTCTTGTTTGCAGAGGAAGCCTCCACTGCTGCCGTCACCGACGGAGAGGAGGAGGAATTCTGGATGGCAGGCAGAAAGAGAGAAAAAGTTAACAATCCACAGGCGCGCCATGTGGAACGTTACAAGAGGAGCAACGGCTTCTCTCAGAAGACAGGTTCCGATTTTTTATTTGGGCCGGCCAGCAGAAAGCATGCAAATAACAAACTTATGACAAGGGGTGCGGTGGAGTCAACAGTGTTAGGCCAAATAAAACGCAAAATTTACCGAAACATGAAAGTAATTAGTTTACAGTCCTATTGGATAGGGCGAACTCGATTACTGCGCACTTGGCGATGTTCAGTAGCGGTAAGACTGGCTTTGAAACATGTCATTAGGCCCAAGATAACTACGAGCTTAATGGCCACTGTTGGTTTACTTCAGCATTCGATCTCATCATCGTTTATTGACTTTAATGATATAGACGTCGATATACGATCGGGAAGAGATGAGAGAGAATAGAGCATGATTTGTGCCAACGGATGGAGAAAGCTCAACCCAAGGTATCTGAAAACACTAACAGGTAGATGTACTAGGTGCACGATCATCTAAGATCACTTTAAATATATTTGAACTATAATAAAAACTGATATGTATGACCGTGGACCAAACTACATCGTTGAAAGTTCAGTTGGACAAAGAATGCCTGATGACAGGATGTCTGCAAGGATGGGACTGACTTCGGCATACATAGTCGTTTGTGAGCAAATAAAGGATAGATCGATGTGTTCATCAATATCTGGGTTAATTGCGAAGCCTACCTCCAACATATAGAGTTCCGTACGAAGCCTGGTTTTAGGCGCGCTATGTTGACAACAATCCTAACTCAAGAGCATAAAACTTAGTACTTTAAGGGACAACTCCCCTCTTTCCGGACGCCTGATACAGAGAAGGCCAAAAACGTCAAAACTTTGGGCGCATCACGATTTTTTGAAACACTTAAAATTTGATATTTTGAGGAATGCACCGACTTGACACAAGGATACATTATTGAACAGCTGAGTGTCTCCTTGCGCTTCTTTCTCACACACCTACCGTGGTTTGACTGGCAACACATGTACTAGCTGAAACCCAGACACATGCTCTGCCGGTATTCTGCTGTTGCTACTTTACATAGTTGGAAGGAGTCCGTTGCATCAATGAGCCCCTCAGCATCCCTTGTATGCTTTTTGGCTGAATGTACATTCAGCCAACCAATTCAATAGTTACTTTCCAGGGAAATTAAAAAGCTGGAATTGATCGATTGGGTTGGTTGACCGGCTGTGCAATTGGGTGTGCTGACGTTAGCCGCCTTCCTTACGCTTGTCACATTGATGCACGGCAGCCAACGCCATTGAACTGTGGGTCCGCTTTTTGTCTAGCGGAACGAACTTCTTTGGAGGGCCGCGAGAGTAGAAATGCAGATGCATGAGTAAGCTTAACAAACGCAGAATTCCAAACCTCAACGAGGACAAGATCAAGCACATTTAGGGAATATGTAGGGTCAACGAATAACTAGGAGCATTCGTTGAAGAGAGAAGGATACACTTGGAAGACTTTATTGAACGAACCGAGCACGGCAGTTTCGGTCGTGAGTAAGGTATAAGATGTCGTTGTTAGATACCTCGCGTCCCTCGGAATAGAAGCAGCGCACAGGCATGGCTAAACACCCCCAAAAGACTCAGTTCCCAAACGGACAAAAGTAACTTCATGTCTGTCGACTCCAGTGCAGCTGCGGAACAGGTAGCTATGTTGGAGAAACCAGTCAACAAAAACGTTGGTCTTCACACAAGTCGCCAAAAGTAGGAAACAGTTTCAGCTTAGGTGTCAGGCTTGGCCGGGGGAATCACGCGTCACCCGCATAAGACAGCCGTGACTCTCAAAGAACTGTTTAATCAATCTTCAGGTAGATCCGTCAACAACAACGCTACTAGATGACTAAATGCAATGAGGGCGCCAGGACGCCTAGCCGAATGACTGAAGTCGCAGACGTAGAACAGTCGGGAATTGCATTCTCCTCATTCACATAAATATTTTATCGCCTGCCTTTTACCTGACTCCGGCTTGAGCGAAGAAGGCTCAGCACAACGAATGTTACGTATGGAGTGGCTTTAAGGGGAGATTGGCATCGGTATTTTCCTATAAACTCTGTTTCCCAAATGGCTAGTGTCCATTAACACAAGTTGGTAGCTCTCCGGAGGATCTAGCATATATCAGCACAAGTAAGCGCCTCTATCTTGATTAAGAAGTTATATATGTGTGTGTTCGACCATCGATTTCGATGAAGTCCACCATATACACCAGACAGGTTGGGGCTAACAAGCGACTGGAAATCAGGGGGTAGATTAAAATGATAGTATGGACGAGGAAAAAAGCGTGTCGAGCACTAGACCAGAGCATCAATCAATTGATCTGGTGCTCGACACGCCTTCTTCCTCGTCCATACAATTACCTGGATCGCGAACCTTCTCATTAAAATGATAGTAGACGTAGCAGGCGCCAACCACACTCTCCACCTTCACCCGGGGTCAAGAAGACCAAATGGGATCCAGCGCAGGCCGCTTTCTCCAATACAGGTCAGAAACACCGCCTAACTTAGTCTTAAGGGACAGTAGACTTTAAGGTTGGGGTTAAGGTCAGGATTAGTTTAACGGTTAAGGTTGGTGTGAACTGTAGGATAGGGCTAGGTCTATGATTAAGGTCACAGTTTAGTTTAATGTTAGGGTTAGTGTTGAGACGGGAATATGTACCCCTCCTAAAATCTATTGCAAGGCTACTTATTTTAAGTGCGTGAGGCGTTCCTATTTCTGTGTCCAGTCTAGGTGGCCATACAAGTTATCCATACTGTTAAATTTATACATTTAAGACAAAGGTGGTACAAAATTACGAACCTTGGCGACAGATGAGTTACTTGACGCCTCGGAAGCTCCGGAGGTCACAGCAGAAATTTTGGGTTGGGTCTTTGTCGCATTGGCTGCGGATCGGGACTTTGATTTCTCAACCACATTATTCTGTTCGTCTTGTGCGGCCTGTTCTTCCTCCTCCTCTTCTTCGCTCTCCTCTGTTTCACTGCTACTGCTGCTGCTAGTGCTCTCCTGTCGAACGACTCGGCGAGACTAAAACGGACAAACAAGCGAGTAACTTTCAGCATCAGACAAAAAAACGCGGGAACCAACACGAAATGACAAATGCACCCAGGAGACTACTTAAATAAACATACAGTATGCCTACGAAGTCGTGCAAAGCTCATGACGAAATTTGACTTTGAAGTTTAGTATATATTTAGTCATGTTATTTTGATCTACTGAGTGGATTTAATCCAGAGAAAGACTTTTAGTTACGAAAACTGTCCTTTAAGATAAGTGCATCAAAGGTAATGGACACTAAATTTGGTTAAATCGGTAGTAGCATGATATCGAAGAAATTTCCTACGACAGAACCAAACTTTCTATTAGTATGCATTATGCTATGGAAGAAAAGTTAAAAATATATCCCTTCTAGAATTGAAAAATTTAGTCCCCGGTTACTTAAATGCAAGTGAAGCCGATTTTAAGGAATCGCGTTTATATTCAGAAATACGTAACACTTTCAGTTTTATAAGCTATTTTTTGCTGAAATGTGAAGTTTTTTTGCCAAAAATGCAGTAACAAAAGTTTTGACCGCATCACGTATTTAGGACGTAACAAAAAATTGGTCATATATCATCGTGAATGTTAAGATAAAAGCAGATCTTTTCGTACCCTATAATTTCCCCTTATGCGAAATTTAGAAACGGAAAATACAGAATAATAATAATTATTGCGATATCTTATGAGAAATTCGGCGATTTTTTAAATTCGCAAGCTTAGAACGGAGACTGGAAGAAATCCATGATGGTGAAAAATATTCCAATATAAAGGGGAAATTGAGTTCTTTCATTTCCAATCAAATTCAGCCATTTATCTCTAGGTTACCTAAAAATTTATCAAAAATTTCCATTTTCATTTTGACTACCTTGGACGAAGTTAATATACACAGAAATTCGTCAGTTGAATACCTAATTAATGTGATTTTTAAAGAGGTAAACCATTACAGAAAGTTTTTTTTTAATTAATCATAGGAATAACAATATCAGACTTTTGTTGCGGACGTTCTTTTTGCTCGACAATGTGTCTTACTGTTTGAGGGAATTCCTAATCATGACCTACATGGCAATCTTCATAAGAAATAATATCCACAAACGCATTTTGTACATGAGTTAATGCCGGTGTTTGTGAGTGATTACCAATCTTTCGCAAACTTCGACATTTTACACGACTTATGCGCCGTACTGTACAGTAGGGCTACATCAAGCATGATCACTGCCGCAACAAGTACGAGTACTGTACAGTAGGACAGAATTTGAAGACTGTAAACTGCACGAGACACGTCAGGCAAAAGAAGGTCCAAAGGACCGAATTTGACGACCTAAGGCGCGAGGCACGCAGCCTAAACGTCGAAGGTGTCACAGTCGTAGGAAAGCATAGAGCATGACAGAGTTGGGAGAGGGGGGGGCGTGTTTTGGGAATACGTATTGAAATTCGAAAAAAAGGAGCAGGCTTTCTGAATATATGGCTAATTATTTAACAAGGAGAGATTTCCTGAGACCCATCTTTGCCACTGTTCAATTAACTCCTTCCGCTTTAAAAAAAGTACTCTAGATTGGTCCCCATAAAAATAGCTAGACGAGACAAATATCCTCATCAATGCATGCTAGCGAAGAATGCGAACACAAGCACTGACAAACAGATACGGAACAGAGAACTTCTCCCTAATAAACCGGTTAGTCGTACTTAAAAAACCGGTATGAGGTTGACGCCCACACTTGTTTCGGCGACGTTCTACGACTGGATGAGGTAAATGCAGAGGTTAAGGCTAGTCAAAGGATGCTCCAGAATTCCCCCCACACGGTTTCGAGTACGGGCTTTAGTTCTTAAAAGCCAAAGTTTCAATTTCGTTGGAAATTAATATTCTGACTTGGAACTTCGTTCTTAGGGATACAACTTTTCGTGTACGCCCCCAGCTTGGTATTATATTGTCAAAGTTCTAAGTACCGCAGCCATAACCCCATCGTTCGTACTAGCC